TTAATAGTATGTGTTAGTTTAACAGACTTTATTATACTATAAATATGAAAAGAAATTCATCTCTGTCAAAACGCATGGCGAAGGTGAGTTGGGCATCATCCGGTTTTAAATGAAAGGGCTCCAGCAAGAAATGTGCGGCTACGGCAGGAAACCGAACGGGAAGAGAATGGTCCGATGGGAAAAAGAAAAGATGCGTCATGGGGTGAGGGTTTTGTGTTAGAGCCGCGTGTTGGAGATAGCATGGCAGATAATCCGGACAATCACATTTCTCCCTCACGTATGGTCTAGATTGGGGAATCCAAACTGCGCATACGGTTCAATTTTGATTAGTCTACTGGGCACCCATTTGATGTCCGAACATGCCGACATATGAGAAAGAAATGAGCTTTTTTCTTTGCGGGGGAAAGCATTCATTAAACAAGTGGTAACATTTTTACAATCATCTGTAATGATAGTGCTAATCTCCGGTGGTACATTTGCTAGCCAACACGCTGTGTGATGATGTGCACGTCCTATCGCAGCCATGGCATGTCCAGCTTTCTTCTGCAATCGGCTAATCTTACGGACTTCAGTTTGCCGCTCCTTAAGCAGGTCAGAGATTTCTCTTACTTGATGCATGTTCCTGAAACGATCAGATTCCCCGGCCTTGAGCAGTGCGATGATCTCCGCACAATCAGTTTCCACCACCAGCAGGGCCTGGGACCAGTGAAGGGCTAGCTTGAGCCCCTCCTCGCACGCGGCCAGCTCAGCCTCGAGAGAACCGGGACAGCAGAAGAGCCAATGGGAAGCGGCGAAGATTACTTGGCCTGCATGGTCACGTAAAATCATACCTGCTCCCGCTTCGCCCTCTGCTGCAACAAAAGAACCATGAAAATTGAGCTTAACATGTCCTACTGGCGAGGGATCCCAGTTAACAGCAGCAACATGCCGTTCTGGGCTTGTTTCAAAAAAAAAACATGTCGTTCTGGAGTAGCAGCGCTCATAGTAGCATATGCACTGAGGTCAGCGGGGAATTTTCCTTTAGTAACATCTGCATTGGGATAGTATTTGATCATGAACAGAGACTCTGCATACTCACACAAGAATCGTTTAGATGCTTCAACCGGGATCATTGGCTTGTCATGGGCTAATTCATTGTGCACATGCCACACGCGCCACAACATCATCAGGACTAATAAGCGTTGTGTTTCACTGATTTGTTGGAGGAGCATCAACAACCAGTCCGGTTCAGCGTTTCTGAGTACATCATCAGGTGGAAGATGCCAAACACTTCTCATTCCAGTCCATAGGTTTCGAGCATAGGTGCAGCGAATGAGTGCATGATGGACTGTTTCATCCTCTTGTCCGCGGATCGTGCACATTCCATCCGACTCCATGTGTCGTCGTTGCATGTTTACCTGGGTAGCAAGCGCCTCCCGAGATGCTTTCCAAGCAAAAACACATACTTTAGGCGGGGCTCCACAACTCCACAGCAGCTTCCAAGCCGGTGTTGATCCATCAGGTCTGCTACTTGATTCCCCAATACCTTGCTGAGCCATGGTCTCATCTCGAGCCATATTGTACGCTGACCTAACAGAGAAATGACCATGCTTGTACGGGTGCCACGCGATTGTGTCTACTCCCAGCCGGCGAGAGGGTTTAATTTTCAGAATCTCTACGATGTCCATTGGCAGAAAATGTTGCGTCAGGAGGTCTGAGTTCCATGTTCCATCAGCAGTCAGAAGATCAGCTACCCACTTTAGCCTGCATCGGCGTTTTTGCGTGATCGGTTTGAAAGGTACACCCCTCGGAATCCAGGGGTCTTGCCAAATCCGGATGTTTGTTCCGTTCCCGACACGCCAGATGTAACCTTTCTTCACCAACTCGAGCCTATGTTCAATTGCAAGCCATGTGGCCGAGCCATTCCCTGTGAACACTGTATCTGTAAGATTGCCGGAGGGATAATACTTGGCTCGCAGAACTTGTGCACAAAAAACTGTTTGGGAACTCAATGAGTCGCCACGCTTGGCGTGCCAACAAGGTCTGGTTGAACAGGCGGAGATCTTTGAATCCCGTTCCTCCTCTTCCTTTTGGGCGTAACATGTTGTCCCAACTGACCCAGTGTGTTTTTCGCTTGCCCTTCTCTGCACCCCACCAAAAGCGACGAATCATCCTTGTTAACTCCTCACACAGTCCTGCTGGTACCTTAAAGACACTCATAATATAGATTGGGAGAGCTTGAGCAACCGCTTTAATTTTTATCTCCTTTCCACCCAAAGAGAAGTGGTTATCACCCCACTCCATTGGGCTTTTTGCTAATTTCTCCTGAAGACTTTTTAATTTCCCTTTGCTCATTCTACCGTCTGGTGTTGGTAGTTCAAGATATCTAGCTTCAAAAGTAGTTTGTGAAATCTGCAAAGTACCTTTAATGTTCTCCTGGATTGCATTTTGACATGCAGGACTGAACAAGATTGAGCACTTGTGTGGGTTAATGACTTGGCATGTACAATTAGCATACACTTGCAGAACTTGTTTCACTCTCTCTGCTTGCCCCAATTCCGCCTTAAAAAAAGCAACGTATCATCTGCGAAGAGTAAATGAGAAATTCCCGGTGCTCTCCGACAGACTTTCAACAGGGTGATGGTGCCTTGGGTTGCTTCACGTTGCAATAATGCAGATAGACCGTCAGCAACAAACAAAAACAGGAAAGGGGATAGTGGATCACCTTGGCGTAGACCTCTTGATGGGGAGAACGAATCAAGCAGGGTTCCATTAAATTTTACGGAGTAGCTCACCGAGGTCACACAAGACATTATCCAATTTACCCATCAAGGAGCAAAAGCCAAACTTTGCATCGTTCTTATGAGAAAATCTCAATCAACTCTATCATAAGCCTTGGATAAATCCAATTTATACGCACAAAAAGAGTCCTTTTCCTTTTTGCAATGCTCTATTGTATGAAAACATTCAAAAGCCACTAATGGATTATCAGTGATCATACATCCGGGAACAAAGGCACTCTGATTTAGTGATATGATATCATCGAGCAATGGACAAAGTCTGTTCACCAGACATTTTGCCACTATTTTATACAACACGGAGCACAAGCTAATGGGTCTGAATTCCTTGAAGTGTTTTCGGCTGATCAGACTTAGGAATTAACAGAATTGCAGTGGCGTTTGTCTCTGATGGCATATGTCCAGTATCAAAGAAGAGCCTTACAGCAGCAACAACGGTGTCCAGTGCTTTTAGGGGGGCTATTTGGAATAGTGTGTCTGCAATTTCTTTCTCCGAGAAATCTTTACATAGCAATTTGTTCATCTCATCCGTTACCTTCTTTTGCACAAGGGAAACAATCTCATCTGCACAAAGACGGGTCCTGAGTGAACAGCTCCTTAAAGAATGATGATGCCATCAGCTCCATAACCGACGGTGTGTCCTGCCAGACCCCTTCATCATCTCTCAATTTTTTGATTTTATTCTACGTGCTCGCCAGACCGATCTATTGTGGAAGAACTTCATATTTCTGTCGCCGGCCTTCAGCCAGTCAACACAGGATCGCTGCAACCATAGAAGTTCTCCCTCACGTATGGTCTAGATTGGCGAATCCGAACTACGCATACGGTTCAATTTTGCTTGGTCTACTTGGGCACCCATTTGATGTCCAAACATGCCAACATATGAGAAAGAAATGAGCTTTGACCTTGGGAATGACTTTATTCATTTGTTTGATTGTTTATTTATATGTGCATTATAACCC